TTAATTTTTCGAGAACGATATTTATAAATTGATAAGTTGAATACAAAGTTGCGTAATGTTGATCAGGATCACATGTTTATATGCGTACATATTGCGTACATATTGCGTAAATAATCGAAACAGTATTTTCTAGCTATATTTTCCGTTATCGTAAAAATCGTACGTTTAAACTATTAGTTATTTCATATTTAATCCAAAGACAATTGTATAATTACGCGTGCACGTTTTGATAAAATATATTTATTTTTGAATCAAATCAGTTATATTAGAATAGATAAATAATCGCTAAAGCCAACGATAAAACTTGCTTCTATGATAAATTCGACTATTTTTTTTTTTTTTTTTTTTTATGAAAAAAGTGATACAATCGTTCCCACTTATCCTACTATTCCTATGTTTATCGGAGGGAATCGATGGTAGGATGATTCCGCACTATCATCATATTTATTATCATTTAATTAAAACAATAGAAAAAAATAAATAATTAATCGATCAAATGAAATGTTATTATAACAGATATATTTTTATTCTATGTATACGTATCGATTCTAAGATACTTTGTTATTTTATTTTTGTTCCAAACGTCGAACATTAATAATAACTGAGAATTTGCAAATGCAATTACTAATGAACGAATGAAATAAAGATAAGATAAAGGGGCTGAAATATTTTATAATTACAAATATGCGATTTTATATTTCTGTAATATATTTTGTTCTCTTTATACAGATTCAATGAATAAACAATTGATTGGGACGCTGATTCTGAGTAAAAATTAATATAGTTTATATGTAATGTGATCTATTAAATAATAAGAAAAATGTAAAAGTAATTTCAAGAAAATAAATATTATAAATGATACTATAAGTGGGTAGAATCTTATAAACATCTTATAGACCAATGTTCCTTTATCTGAAATATTAATTATTTGTATAAAAAATTTGATATGAAAGCAGAAAATTATTATTGTTAAAAAGAATTTGAAAAATTTTACATTATTCGCGAGATCGCCAAATTTTTATCCATTGAAATATATTCCGTATAATTTCGTTTGATATTCTATTTGATATAATATTTTTTATATAAGATTAGATTTTATAAACATTGTAAAAATAAGAATATATATTTTTTTACGTTAAAGATTAAAATATATGTAATTTTAAAAGAGGAGTATATATTTATTCAATTCATATTCCGTATTCGATCATGTCTGGTCACGTGCCAATGGTAAATGTAAACAAGGAAAACAAATAGTAGGAAAAGGATAAAGATAAAATTATTTATAGTTTCATCTGAGATATTCCAGAAATAGCACTGATTTCCGAATTTTTATTCTTTTTTTATTCTTCTTTCGCTATTTCCTCTTCTTATCTATATTTACTTTGTAAAATTTATGCGTTCAAAAAACAACTTTGCTTTTTGCTGTGTTTTGCTGTATTTTATATAAAATACAATATAGATATAATATATTAAGATAAATATATATGTGTCTTTGTTAAATTTTGATATAAACATTTATATTTAAAATAATATTGCTTCAATTTTGCGTGATAAATAAAAGAGATTACCACATTTTGACCAATCAAAAAACTGTTATAGCTTAGTGACGAGATGAGTCAATATTGTATATCGCAATACACGTGCCATCAATTTTAGTCTACGATTGAAAATTGTGGTGACAAATCACATTTCATTAAAAAAAAAATGTATAATTACGTAAAATTTATATTGAGTATATTGATCAATCAATTTATTTATTGATCATTCAGCTTTATTATAGATTATTATATATATAAGCCACATTTAAATATACTTCCTTCTTTTCTTTAATTTAATCATATATCGGAATTGAATGTCTTCATTATCTACAGATTATCGTTTAATTAAAGTTTCGAAGGCAAAATAGTTTTAAAAATGTAATGCTTTTTAAAATAATGATTTTATGTAAATATGATTCTATTTATTTTAACAAAAATGTAGCATTTTATTTTTCTTTTCTATCATAGAAGATAAATCTTTCAATTACTTATTATATTATGTTAATTTATTATATTAAGGATTAAAGAAACATTTAGATGATAAATAGGATTTACAAATATTTAACATATTCAATATAATTTAATGTTTTATTCTTTCTTTTACAAAAAGGTAAGAGAAATTTTAATCGTAGATTGAAATTTTATTAGATAATGTGTAATATATTCTCATTTCAGTTTGTAAAGTTATGAAGTGAATAAGAACAGGTTTTTATTTTGTACTTTTTAAGTGTACGTATTTAAATTGTATCATGTTAAATGGCATAAAAAATATTTTTGATCTATTTCTATTTAAGGTTGGTATTTCAAAATGTGATACAAAATTCTATAAGATGTCGCATCTATTCAATTTCTCGTTTGTGATCGAATCTCGTTTATTTTCGAAGTTAAACCATAGAAAATATAGCATAACAAAATTTATCTGATCTTATATTGATATTTCAAAACATGAGATAATAGATAAGTTTTATAAATTAAACATTCTATTCTGTACATTGTCTTTGTGCAGGTGATATGTGCAATTTTCTCTTTCACAAATATTGTAAATGTTTGTAAATATTTAGAGCATCGTATATATTCATGGAACAAGATGTTAATCTCGGACAAGTTATAATAAATATAAATATATACGATATTAAAAATGTATGCAATATTTTAAATCAATGTATAGCTAAGCCTATATATGGGCGCAATTTTAAAGAGTGGAATTAAAAAATTGTGTTTTCGCAATGCTATCCGAAGTTGACGTATTTATCAGTAATTATACTCTTGTTGATCCTGAAATATATCAACTTTGGGTTGATGGTCATTCTTGTAAGTTTGACAAACATAGAATTTTTTGTCAAATAAAATTATATTTATTTGTATTATAAAATATAAGTATAATTCATATGATTGTCCTTTATTAATTTAGCAAGCGAAGCAGTAAATATTTTACATCAACGAGGAATATGTCATCAAACAAATGCTCCGATTGAATTAGTAGCTTCTGATATTCTTGATCATTATCGGACTTATGCTCTTTTGGAAAAATTACTTCACACTCCTACTAAATTAGCGAGTGAACAACTCGCATTTCAAATAGAACCACAAACTAGTCAGATGCTTATCGAAATGTATAAACAAACTTATCTATTGCTTGTATTCTTTACATACATTTATATTTCTTTTTAATACATATATTCTTTTGATTACAATTTGTAGGTATTATGAATTCGATGATGTTGTTATTAGAGAATTATTAGGTAAAAAATTAACATCGAAAAGTAGAAAAGATATGGATGAGGTATCGGAAAAAACAGGTATAACTTTGAAAAGTTGTCGTCGGCAATATGACAATGTAAAAAGAGTGTTCAAAGTAGTTGAAGATTTGCCAGGTTCTTTGGCTGCCAATATTGAACAACATTTTTTGCTCTCTGAAGATCTTGCTAAGTAACATTAAAAATATTATTATTATATATATTTCTATTATTCTTTTGTATTAATCTACATATACATGTATTAAAAGATATATAAAATTTGATTTAATATTTACGATCGATTAGGCGATACGCCGCTGTGGTATTCGTAGCATGTCTTCGATTTGAAATGAATAAGAGAAAGCTTCAGTTTCTGACATTTCCTGATTTATATCATTGCGCCAACAGTATGATGTCATCATGGACATATCGTTGTGTAGGATCGGAATATTTTGATACTGATTTGGATAGAGAATTCTTGTTGGAATTAGCAGAATGTAAGGTACTTTTGGAAAATGATAAACATCACAAACAGTAAGCTTATTATTCTTCTTTTTTTCATAGAAACTATAATTATATCATACGTTTAATTATAAATTATACATGGATTGTATCTTATTTCTTTACAGTTTGGTATGCATCAAGCTTAAACCTTTACTTTTAGAACGTTCAAGTATTTATCAAGAGATAGATGCAAATTTTCGTTCGTATACAAGAGCTATTCTAGGAATAGGATGTAATCTTCATCGTTCTAGAGATTTACGATTTTTCTTCTTGGAATTAGTAGAAAAATGTATAGAACCATGGCGTCAAGTAAATTGGACACATACAGATCTCAGAAATTTTCTTTCAGTCTATACTCAATGTGCATTAGATATGGATGTTCTTAGGTAAAGAATAAACATTTTTATAACAGGAAAAAAAAAATGTAACGATGTTTCCTTATAAAAATTATAAGTATATGAAAATAATAATTATATATAAAAATTATAAAAATTAATTAATTAATTTTTTAAATATTTTATTTATCAGAGACAATGAATTGAGAGATGCTTTTGAACGTTATATGACTGTTGTTACATGTTGTTTATTGCGTATGTATCATACATGACTATTAACAACTAATGAAGAAAATATAATGCAAAAAATAAATGCAATTGGGAATGATGACAAGTAAAATGTAGAAAATAAAACAAATCGAGAAAGATGTAGCTATATTTATTTATTAAATTTTCATAATAAATAATTAATAAACAAATATGGTATATTTATTCATTTGTTTCATATACATCAGAATTTACAATTTTATCTGTCTATTTATTTACTTATTGAATACTTTTAAAAATCACTTTTAATGTAATAATTTAAAATGAGAAATATTACTCTTACTAATTCTTTATATATATTTATTTCATGTGGCAGTATTTCAATAAGCTTTTTCTTTTATGTGCAAAGATATTAATTTACCTCGATAGATAGACTTTAAAAATCCTATGTTAAATTGTTCAAAATTCTATCAAGGAATCAAAGTATTCAATTTCTTTTATACATAGTATTATCTCGAATCGATCCGAGTTTGTTTTTACGCACCAGTATGTATAAATATTACTATACACATTTGTACATACTAACAAAATCAAATACTTATAATAAACACCATAAATTATTGGCAGCATGATGCCATAATGACATTTTTTTATGTCTCTGGCATTTTACAGTCGAATTATTTTTTATTTTTCGCTATATTGATGCTACAATCTAACTATATTCTAATTGGACTATACATTTATATTACGAATTTTTATATATGTACAATTATTGGAAGTTGAATTTATTTTCTATTAAGCAACTTCAAAACAACTTCCTATTAATTGTTAATATATCTAATTTTTTTACTCCCTACCTATATGAAACTTTTTACTCCCTATCTATATGAAAAATCTACGAGAGAAAATCGTAATGTAGGAATAATTTGTGTAAAATTTGAGTGAGTGAGAATGAGAGAGAGAGAGAGAGAGAGAGAGAGAGAGAGAGAGAGAGAGAGAGAGAGAGAGA